CTGTCCTTAGAATAAAGTCCAAACTTTTTTACATAGCTTATGGCTGTGTGTGTGTGTGTGTGTGTGTGTGTGTGTGTGAGAAAGAGAGGAGGGAATGAATCTGGTTCTGCTTACTGCTCCCCCATATCATGTCTTATCACACTCCCTGCCCCCGCCCCCCCAATGCATCAAACTCTAGCCGACCCCACTGAGTCCATGTACTTACTATACTTCCGTCCCCAACCCACTGCTATGCCTTGCTTGTCTGTCAGCCCGACCTGGCTATAAGGTCTGCGAACCCAGGGACTATTTCAGTCTTGTTCATTATATAGTAGCCCCGGTTAGCAGATTCTCACAAATACTTATTAATGCTAGGACAGACACTTCCCCCCACACAGGAATGTCTATGAAACTGACGTACACCCCACACCTACCGTGTCACTGCAGGACTTCTTGTGGTGAATACACCAAGTCTCTCCCAACACTGCCGGCCTCTTGGATTCAGTGGTGTGTGGCACTCACCATTCAGTTCACTCAATTACCTTTCTTTGTTCTAATTCTCTGTCCCTGACAGCCTTTTGATGATAATTTAGCTTCTAATATAAATTATTCTTTAGGTAAGGAATATGCTTACCAAAGAACATAAGAGTTTAAACCACTGACACTCCGCCTTTTCACTGCAAATAAATCAGCAATTTTATTTCTGTATCATTAAGACTATTCAGCATACACCAATCCCTGATCTGCTTGAGTGCACCAACTTCTGGAAGCTGAAAACCAGACTCAGGGATGTGCTTTCCGCCCTCGTGATGCCCTGTGATTCTCTCCATTTTATTGCTTGCTACATTAAATCTGTATCAGAGTCATTAAGTATGTGGCTCTGCAGTCAGACTGCCTTGGACAAATTATTTAATCTCCGAGCCTCAGTTTCCTCATCTGAAAAATGAAGACAGTGATAACAGGTTGTTGTGATAAGCTGAAAACAGGAGACAGGTGCCTGGCACACAGTGGACACTCACTGCATTCTAACCCCGCCGCCACTGTCGCCGTTGTCACTACCGTCGCGGTCACTGAACTGGAAGCTTCTTGGGAACAAAAATCCAGTCTGAATTCAACCCTGTGTCCCTAAGCCCTTAGTGCCAGATGAGCCCGCAGCCACTCTGTGCTGAACTTAGCCGCCGCACTGCACCCTGGGAGGCCCTGCCTGAGGGTGGGGCGGTGTCCCCGCAGAAGACCCGCCTCACTTCTCTTTAACTGCAGCCCAGTCAATGTGGGCTCCTCCAGTGGTCTCCGCACCCCCAGAACAGAGTCTAATGTGGTGCCACCCAGGCACGAGAGAGCTGTCCCTTCTCTCCCTTACAGCTAACCCTTCTGCCCATGTCTCCTCAGGCACTGCTGTCGCCCGCACTCACCCTTCCCGAGGAGCCAGAGGCCTGCAGGGGCTGCCGGAACTTGCTTTCAGCAGCACCGCTCTCGGGGGGCACAGCCAGGCCTGTCTGGCTGCACCACACAGCTGCTTTCCCAGTGTGAGTGTTACACACAATATTAAAAGGCAGATGGCGAATCAGGGGCAAGAACTTTAATGTCGCTGTCAAACACGGTCCAGTATATATAAATGTATATAAAGGGCTACCATAAACAATGAGACAGTCAAACACTGTAAGAGAAAGCGGAATACAGAAAAGGCACAAGAAACTCAGAAAAGAAAATACACTGATACCCAAGGAGCATATGAAAAAATGTTCTATCTTACTTAGCAATTAAGTGCAAGTTAATACCATAGGAACCTGTCTGATTGGCAGGGATTTATTCAGCTCTGGAACGGGCCGAGGAACTGGGTGTTTTCCCGCACGGTGGGTGCCCGGCTATTTTGCAACACACCACCAAGTCTTAAAAAATGTGCTTACCCCTTTGCCCTCATAATCCTTTCCTAGAAATTTACCCTAATAATACTGTTTATCAGAGTATTATTTATAACAGCAGAAAAACTGGAAACAAATAATCTAAATGTCTAATGAGAACTGGCTAAATAAAGTGGAAATGATATGCTTTACTTTATAGGATTGTTGTAAAAATTTGATTACATCGACCAAGTGAAATAATGTGTGTAAGCACTTAAGACAGTGCCTGGCGTACACGTGCCTGATAAACGATGGTGACTATCACCACTAAAGTGACACTGCTGGGAATGACACAATGCAGTGAATGAACAGCAGGTCACAGCAGAGTGGAAAGACCCCAACTCTGTCCTATCACTACGTGCATGAGCACATGCACCCTTACAGTGTCCATCCATATCTACACTAAGAAACTAAAGAATTCTACCCTGGCTGGCATAGTTCAGTGGGTTGAGTGCCGGCTGCGACCCAAAGTGTCACAGGTTCGATTCCCAGCCAGGGTACATGCCTGGGTTGCAGACCATAACCCCCCAGCAACCACACATTGATGTTTCTCTCTCTATCTCCCTCCCTTCCCTCTCTAAAAATAAATAAATAAAATCTTAAAAAAAAAGAAACTAAAGAATTCCTAGAAATGTATGCCAAAATGTTCATTTATTGATTGATATTTTAAGAGAGCAGAAGGGGGTGAAGGAGGAAAGGAGGGAGGGAGAGAAGGAGGGAGGGGGAGAAAGAGAGAGGGAGAGAGAGAAACATCGATTTATTGTCCACTTATTTATGCATTCATTGGTTGATTCTCGCATGTGCCCTGACTGGGGATCAAACTCACAACCTTGGCATATCAGGACGACACTCTAACCAACTGAGCTACCTGGCCAGGGCTGGCCAAATCATTAACAGTAGTGATCTATTAGTGATAATATTATGGTACATTTTAATTTTGTTTTCACTTTTCATATTTTCAAATATAGTTGAATAGGTATGTATTACTCTCTTAACGAGAAAGATAAAAATTTAAGTGAAGTCAGAAGAAACAGGCAACGTTCAGCTTGTCTCGCTGGTCCAAGAATACTTAACATAAAATTTTATTCAACAAATACATTAATCACAAAATATACAGACTGTCATGCTGTGGACATTTAGGGGTCTGAAGAAAAAAGAAGGGCAAAGGGAAGAAAAAGCAAGAAAGGCCGGGGAGCAGGAGAGGGAGGGACGGGAGGAAGACACCCGTGCAGACATGAAGAGACGCAAGGGGGCAGAGGCCTTGGCGGCTGCAGGTCCCCTCCGGCCCGGCGTCACGCACTGGACACTGCCACGTGCTGGGCGCTGTGCGTGACCATGACACAACCGCCATCTTCAGAAACCTATTTTCTGTCTAGTTCCGTAGTTTCCTGCGAGATAACCAAACCTGAATCCTAGAAGTGACTCAAAACTTACAGCCTCTCCAAGAGCCACCAAATTAAAAGAGAATTTGTTGAATATTCTATATAGTCTGCTCTCCATTGAGGCTTCAAAATTATCATTATCTTTGGAGGTGTAATTTACTTAAATAAACTCGTCACTTCATCTAGCCCACAGGTGGCAAACACAAGGCCCGCGGGCTGAACCCGGCCTTCCACCTTATTTTATCTGGCCCAGCACGGAGTTCCCACCTGGCGGCAGCACTGAGCACCTTGCCCCTAGTTAAGGAGCAGTTACATGTACACAGTCCTAAAGTTTCACTCGGCCCTCTGAAGGCAACCATGAGGCTAATGTGGCCCCTGGTGAAAATGAACACCCCTGAATTCTAGCCTAATTCTTAAAATCCGAGGGTGCTCTGCTCTGAGTGGGAAGGAAGCCCAGCAGGCAGGCATTTTTCTTCGGACTTACACAGAGAAATGGACCCTAAGGAGACCCAGTCATGGGCAGAAATGCCTCACGCTAGTGAAGCAAAAAGGACATCAGGCCAAGCAACACGACGCCTTGTGGTTCCTCTGCAGACCGGCGGTTCCCAGCCTTTCTCACACCATGGCACACACACACTCGTCACTAAAGTTCTGCGGCAGCGCACCAAAAAATAAAACAGGTATAACTTTGATTCATTCACACCACACAGCTATTGCTGTGTTGGCTGCTGTCACTTCTTATTTGACAATCTAAGGAAACAGAGGTCCGTGCCCTTGACTAAACAGATATTACATGTTTTAAAAATTCTTGTGGCACACTGGTTGAAAAATCACTGCTGTAGACTAACAGAGCCTAGAACCTTATTAGATTTTATTTAAAGACCTGAGAAATGCTTCATATTGTTCAGTTTGTGCAAAGACAGCTGACCCCAGAACGTCAAGTTAAGACTGAGAAACAATGATGGCGTTTTCCAGGGGAGCTATGACTTCAGCGCGTGCCCTGGCAGCCGGACAGTCAGACGCGTCCCAGGTCCGAATCCACCCTGGGCAGAACATACCCTGAGAACACAATGTGGTTACAACAGTACTTAACCTCATTGGATGGATGTGTTCCTGAGAAGCAGCGAATTTTGGTAAATTAAACCAATTGAACTTTTAAGAGTACTGAGAGGGTCTTCTATTTGAAGCCGTCAGTGTCCTCCATTTTTAAAGGTCCAGAACCCTTTCCTCAGAAAAAATATAAACAGAACAAGTTTCATGCCATTTCAATAGACCCCGTGCCCCCAGAATCCATTCTCTTGAACGAACCTGCTGTTAAAAGGCACTGACAAATAATCTTTTTTCTAAATAAAATTTTAAAAAAGATTTTATTTATCTATTTTTAGAGAGGGAAGGGAGAAAGACAGAGAGAAACATCAATGTGCGGTTGCTGGGGGCCGTGGCCTGCAACCCAGGCATGTGCCCTGACTGGGAATCGAACCTGCAACACTTTGGTTTGCAGCCCGCGCTCAATCCACTGAGCTACACCAGCCAGGGCTACAAATAATCTTTTTAAAAACAGAGTTATGAGAGCCTAATTATTCAGTATTATAAACCTACATTTTTGTATTTCAGGTTCACGTACATGAAATTTCCACTTAGAATGGAAGCTGGCAGTTCAGACTTTCCGTGAGCAGACCCACAGGGGCCGTCCATGAGCCCGGGTGACGCAGCCCCCCTCCCCCACCGGCGAGCTCACCAGTGTGCGTCTTCATGTGCTCGTCGAAGTACTGCTTCATGTTGAAGTCCTTGCCGCACCACTGGCACATGAACTGCTTGTGCCCAATGTGGATGCTCATGTGGGAGCGGAGCTGGTACTTGTACTGGAACCTCTCGTCACAGTTCTGCACGACACAGTGGGCACGTCTGAACGCCACGCGAGACGGCGTCACCTGAGCCCACCCTCCGCGGCCTCTGGGGCGGGTTCACTTTTCCTACTCGAGACAGAACCTGCTTTTGTCAACTACTTCCCTCTGCTATAATCCCGTGGCTGCGCCATCAATAAAAGGGAAATTTTCATTCAACAACCACTGACATATACCCGACTCCTGCAAGTCACTAAAAGAAAAACAACTCCTGTGTTATTCCCAATTTAACTCAATCCAAAAAAGCTAACAGTGTGTTTAAAAGGACACTTCTCTACCGAGCAGTGAGATAACAAGCGACACTCAGAGCCCGAGGCTGGAGACCCTACGCAGCCTGGCGCCCCCCGGCCCCCCCCCGCCCCCGCACTGGTCTCACCCACAGTCGGCCTCCAGGCCGGGGCCTGGGGGCGCACACTCCTCACCTCACATCTGAAGGGCTTCTCTCCAGAATGCTGCAAGGAGTGCACCTTGAGGGACATGCTGCGTTTGAATGACTTTCCACAGGTTTCACATGTAAAAGGCATGTCTTTTGTGTGTGCTGCAACACAGAATGCACCATATTCAAAGTAAGTTCGCCCGAAAGCTCACACGGAACAGGACAGGCGTCCTGGTGCACGGGCTTTGTGTCACCTCAATTCCCTACGCTCGCGCCGTGAGGCCGGGACGGCGAGGCAGTGCGAGCCGAGGCTGGGCGTGGACGGCGGCCCCATCCGGCCCGGCGCTGCCCACGGAGGACGTGCTGCCTTCAGTCTCAACAAACCAGAAGTGACTACAGCACGGCGGCCTCGCAGCGACCCGATCCAGAGCCCGGCACACCCCGAAGAGCGAGGGCAAGTTACAGGCGCGAGACAACACTTACCGACCATGTGTTTCCGCACGTGAGCCATGGTGTAGAATTTCTTCTCGCAGATCTCACAGGAGAATTTCTTCTCTGCATATCCGTGGACGATCTTGATGTGTTCATGAAGGGACCAGAGTTTCTTGAATGATTTGTTACAGGAAACACACTGAGCGGGATAAATAAAAACAATCTTTACTCATCAGGGCTCACAGAAAGCCGTGCCTGCCTACCGGCAGGTGACACACTACGCTTTCGACCCGCGGCTCCAGGCTGGAGCCCCGACCAGCGCTTTTCTTCCACGGAGTCCGGGTCCCGACACCAGTGTCTGCGTGTCGTGTTCCGGGAGGCACCTTTCGGAGACACATCGGGAGGAGAGCGGCAAGGGCAAGACGTAAGACAAGAAGAAACGGGAAGTCCCACTAATATCAGAGAACTGACTGATTGTATCAAGTTTGTGTTGTGCCTATAAAAAGAACCTCCAAGTTTTTTTTAAATGTATGAATTACCTAAAGTGGCTGCCTCCTACTTGTGGGTCACTAACAGGTGTTTACCAGAAAATACAATGTAAGTTAAAATTAGCATAAATAAAAACAAGAGAGAGCAAAATACACGTTAAAGGTTATAGATCTGCAGAAGTACAGCAATGTCTGTGTACCTTAGAGAATGTATCTGGAGCCTTTGTTAACACCAATTATTGAGATCTTATTACAGTTTTCCAAATCTGATTTGCTCTATTGAACATTTCCCACAGGCGGGATTTAATGGAACCTCTCCACTGTCGGCGCCTTTCTCTCTTCCCCTTCCCAGCCCAGCTCCAGATGTCTCGTCCGAGGACCCAGAGCAGCGATTTCCAACCTGTGCACCGAGAGAATTTTTAAAACCTGCTATACCTGACTGTCTGGTCAGGGACACTGGCCTCTTTTCCTGCAGACTGCCCAATTAAACAAATGACAGCAGCAATACAACAATAGCCATCGAGTGTGAATGAATCACACTCGATGGTTATTTTTTTATACCGGCAAAAGATACATTTTTTTGGCATGCTGCAGCATTTCAGTAACCAGTGCGAGGGTGCCACGAGACGAAAGGGCTGAAAGTCGCGGCCCTGCAGGAAATGCACGCAACACGGCCTGGTTCCGTGTACTATGAATCACTGACAGTCCAGACTCTCGGGCACAGAGTGTATGAAAGTAAAATGCTCTGGTGGAAGCAAAACGACAGTAGAAAGTTCTAGGTGGCCACCAGACTCTGGGACACTTAGGGAACAAGTCGGTCTTTGCCGTAAATAGATAAAGATCCTCTAACACCGCTGTTACTCCAGGCAACGAGGCCTCTGCGAAGAGTTAAAGCACAAGCCTCTGCCTGCGCAGTGCTTGATAAAAGGACAGACAATCCCTATAAACCATTTGGTGGGGCAAGGTTTTAATTTTTACTTGTTCCTAGGTCATCATGATTAGGATCCATAATTAACAACAAAGCAGTGTCCCTAAGGGATGTAAAGAGAGTTCACTTAGCAGCATCCAAAAACCTAAACCCACGCTGAAACATATTATGGTGGGGAAGAGTAAGGAAAGTCACATGAAAAAAGACTAAATGCTTTCTTTTCTGTAACTTAATGAATTTAAGTTTAAAAAAACCCCACTACTCCAGAAAGCTCTTCAAGAGCCACGCAGCACCCACTCTGACCCCTAGGGTGCAGCACCGCACCACACTGCTCCTGGCCTGAGCTGCTGCAGCCGCCTCCTCACCCAGCAAGGCCCCCCGCAGCCCCTGGAAGGGACGGGCGACCTGACTCAGTCTCCTCCTGGTTGCCCAGCGTTGGGGAGACCAGACCACCACTGACAAGTCAAACAGCAGTGAGTGTTTAGCAATGTACTCTTTAAAGTAAAGCAATGAACTCAGTGGTTGGTTAAAAGCAAGAGATGTGAAAAATAAGGGGCACTCCAGGAAACAAAACAATTGCACCTTTTAAAGGAAATTTGGCTTAAATATGGTACAAAAGATGTCTATTTCACATATTTTACGGAGACATTAATAGACTTACCTTTCATAAGCATTCACTAACATGCATTCCATATATGCAAACCAATATGGCTCCACACAATGTAATTCACTCAACATAATGTAATCAGCACACCTCTCACCCTATCACAGTACAGTCCTCTGAAGGCACCAGCCTGGTTTGCACACCATGTTTTGTTACCTTAACAGTACGGCACAGTAGCATTACATAACCTCACTGCCAAGTGGGCAACACTGTCAACCCGCTTGGCCTCTGTTTAAAGTCTGCACATTCCCACGGGCTCAGCCTCTTGACAAATTTAGTGTTGGCATCTCTCCACCGGTAAGAGCACACTCACTGCTGGAGATCTTCCAGTTCCACCATCCGAGTCATTATGGTTTTGGTCCCCATCGGCTGCACTAGGACCTGGCATCCCTTTAAGCCTAGGAAGGGACCACTCTACTCCTGAACTTTGCTCAGTATTTCCCACCTTGACAGAGAAGGTGCCAGAATGGACACAACACGTGCCCTACAACTGCGACTCAGTGCGCGGCGGGCGCTGACTCTACCTCCTGGGCGAGCACCTACCACAGATCCCCCTTCCAATGTGCCTGGGTTCCCACTAGTCCAGCATCAGTTACGTTTAATGCTTTTGAAATAAAATGTTACGCTTGGGTTTTGAAAAGACCAACGCGGGAGTTTTTAAAGAGAGAAATTGGTGAAATCTGTCCCTTCAGCCTCTATTGCATTTTATTCTCTTGGGCAAAAATACCAGGTGAGTCTGAACAGCCAGGTTCTATTCTGGAAAGTGTGCCCTCTCGGTGATGAAACCTACCTGAATGTTTTTTTCACAGTCTGTTTGCTGGTGAAGGGACAGCTCACTCTCCAGGACAAACTTCTTGCCACACTTATCGCAAATCTGCATGCGCCTGTGAGTAACGTTCATGTGCTTTTCCAGGTACCAGCGAGTATTAAACACCCTGGGGCACTTCTCACAGGTCAGAGTCTCTTTCTCTTCACACTTAGCTTTCTGGACTGGTGCTTTGGGCTCCTTTGCAGCCCGCTTCTTACGCTTAGGTGGCTCTACGCTCTTCCTACGGCCTCTCGTAGCTCGGGGAGTGGGGGAAGCGGCGGCTGCGGCTACAGAGGCCGCCCTCCGCGTCCTCCTCTGGGCGACGCTGACCTTCTCCGCCGTCTTCTCCTTTTTCTTCTGCCTCTCGTTCTCGCCGTAGTCACTGCTGTCGTCTGTGGGCTCTTCCTCACTCTCTTCCTCTTCCTCCTCACTGCTTGTCTTAAGAGCAGGAGTCTCTTTGGACTGAGAAGAGACACCCTTTTCCCCTTTAGACACATTTAATGTTTGATTATTAAGGTTTACCTCCACTATGATCTGCTCCCTTTTGTAAGAGACTTCCTCCTCCTCCTCTTCGGTGTCATCAGAGTTCTCCCGGTCTTCTTTGACGGCGTGCGCGTCAGACACGGCCCTTGTCTCCCTGAAATAGGGCTGTTCCTCGGTGTCGTGCAGGTGCGGTTTGCTCATCTTGGCATCCACTAACGCAGAGTAAGGACTTCCTGACTCCCTCTTGTACACTTTGGTGGACAGGTCGAGTTCCTGGCTGGCACCATGATAAAAGGCAGACGGCACTTGACCACGACAGCCGTCCTCCTGTGCCATTCCTGCTGCATGCGCAGCGCAGTTCTCGGCCAGCTCCTGGCAGGGGCTGGCTGTGTGGCTCATTGGTAAGTGGCCCAATCTGTTAAGCAGTTCAGACTGTAGAGAAATGAAATAGCTTTAAAACAGGGTAATTATCAATACTCAAATCTTTTTCCATCCACAAAGAACCATCCGAACGACAAAAAAGGTACCCAGGGACCTGCGAGCAATCCTTCCAGTGCTGCAGCACCAAAGCGCAAGTGAAAAGGCTTGGTGTTACGGCGAGAGCAGAGCACTAGTGATTTTCCTTTTGAAGACAGCTGCGGGTGGCTTGGAGCATCTTATCTACAAAGGAAAGCAAAGAAGAAAAAAGGTCAGACACCACTACTTCCTTTGTACAGCATGCACGTACGCCATACAACAAACACACCTTAAAATGATTAAACTCTTTACGCACACAATTCTTTACCTTGCTTAAATGGTTCAGTGTGGGCCATTATTTTACTGAGTTACATGAATTCAACAAAATTTCTTTAACCTATATAACTGATCTTTATCTTAAAATGTTAGTTAACAAATAACTGAATAAACACACAAACAAGCAGGCCCTACAGTTCATCGGCTCCGCTGGGCGCTAGGTTCCCAGAGGGCCTCGGTGCCACCAGGGTCCCTTCACTCCCCGTTACTGCTGGGACTCCGGTCACATGGCCCCAAGTGGTTTCAAACCTGTGTGGTCCAGGCCCTTTCAACACACACGTTGTTAGAATTAGATTCTAAGTAAATTCTAAGACAGCAGGAGTCACTATCCCTTCACTCAGATATCCTCAGAGCCTAGTGCAGCGCCTAGCACTTAGTAGGTGTTCAGTATATATTTAATAACTAAATGCACAGCTCCTGTTGCAGAGCATTCATTATCCTAGATGCTAGGGGGCATACTGATATGCCAAAATGTACGGTCCCTGTCTGCAAGGAGTTTACGTCTTATCACACGTGTCTCGCATGGAGCGCACCGGGGCAGCGCGCTGGCCGGCTTTGTCCACAGTTGGACACCACCACCCACTGTGGGGAGAGCCCAGCGAGCACAGGCAGCAGTGGGGCAGGCACTGCGGGCCAGCAAAACAAAAGTTAACCGACACAGCTGTTGGAGACAGAAAATGCCCTGGTTTTAAGTAATTTTAATCTAGAAATCTAGATATAGATATTACTGCAGACACTATGGTTTTCAGATTTATCGGAGTAATTTCAAAGTGGCCAAGCATGTTTGCATTTGTTCCACGCAGAGCTCACTAGATCCACTCAGTAACTGGGTGACTTTTCACATGTCAGCTGCACAGAAATCTAAATTCTAAGAAACAGTAACCATCAAGTTGATACGGTTCCAAGAAAAATAAAACCATCAATAAAAAAAAGATCAGAAAGGCACACCATTTGCCCTGTGATACACCGCACAGGGCTGCTCGGCCCACTCCCTAACCTCTGAGCCGCGTGAGTGCTGCCGTGAACATGCAGCTGCCTGGAGGCGGGCAGGCGGGCGGGGGCAGAGCAGCGCTGGCTGAGGGCCCACTGGCCCGCGTGCGCTGCCGAGGGGCTGGCCCCCTGCTGCTGCGGCTCAGTGACCACCACACAGCTCTGGGGTGGGTTTTTAAATTATTCTTCTCTTTCACTCTCCTTTCTCCTTGTGGATTTATTCTTTAATACATTATTTTACTCTCATTTTAGTGCTATTTCAGAAAGGAGTGGTGATGAATGCTACCATGTTTTATTTGCTATCTGAATAGATATGGTTATACATTTTTGTGTTTATTAATGACAAAATTATGCCCCTGAGAGACTAATTGTCTAAAATCACATATCTATTCAATGACAAAAGCAATGTTTGACCCCAGGCATGCCTGACCCCAAAGCTTGTGGTCTATTTCTGCTATGACAGATGACACCCCCCAAAATAATTTAAAATCAGTTATTCCTGTAACTACATATCTTCTTACAACAAACAGTTCCATACCTCACATTTTAAGTAGGAAAATCCTAGTAGCTTTATTTTGCATGTGCCAAAACTTCTGACCCATGGAAATAATGTAAACTACTACAAGTACTGTTATTAAACTTACTCACATTAATTACCTCAAATTAACCAAGGGAGGAGAGACAGTAAAATTCAACTAACCAGCAAAAGCTATTAACGGGAAATAAATAAAATTAAAGGGGACAAAGAAAAGTAGATGAAGAGACATTCTCTGTGGCAGTCATTCACGTGCTCTTCCCAAATACTTCTGGGCACGTGGGAGACCCGCACTTTCTGCCCCCTGCCCCTGCCCCTGCAGTTGGGCGGGGCCCTCTGACCACCTCTGGCCAGCGCACCGCACCGTGAGTAGATGTGACGCACAGAGGGCCAGGGCATCTTCTCGCCACGGGAGACCCTCTGCCGCACGGACCAGCGGTCTTTGAGGGGACAACTGGTGTCGTCGCTACCGACCTGGGTCTCTGAGTGACCAAAGTGACTTACAGGACATGTGCACAGTGTGGTGGATTTGTTAAATAAAGTTACTTTTACACAGAGTGTGTTTTAAAAGCCATTGAGCCCTGGCTGGTGTGGCTCAGTGGATTGAGCAGCAGCCTGTGAACCAAAGGGCTACTGGATCGATTCCCAGTGGCGACACATGCCTGGGTTGCAGGCCAGATCCCGTCGGGGGAGGGGTGGTGGTGTGAGAGGCAACCACACCTTGATGTTTCTCTCCCTCTCTTTCTCCCTCCCTTCCCGTCTATCTAAAAATAAATAAGTAAAATCTTAAAAAAAAAAATAACCTAGAAACTAGCCCTGGCCAGGTAGCTCAGCTGGTCTGAGTGTTGTCCATACACGCTAAGGTTGCAGGTTCAACCCCCAGTCAGGGCACATACAAGAAATAACCAATGAATGCATGAGTAAGTAGAACAACAAATCAGTGCTTTCCTCTCTCTTTCCCTTCCTTTCTATCTCTAAAACCAATCAATAAATTCTTTTTACAACTCAGAAAATAAGACAACTTTTTCTTTTAAAAATCAGAATTACAATGTTTCATTCTACTTTAAATGACGCACACATCCGAGTGCGTGCATTCCCGTACGAGCCTGTGAGCGACATCTCGCCACGGTTCCAGTCCGGGAAGCTCACAGAAGCACCAACCCGCCACTGTCACAGCAGGAGACGGAGTCTGCCTGTTCATCTGAAAACACACTCGGGCTCTCTGCCCACACTGCACTTTCTTCATTTGACTCTGGCACCTTTCCCTTTGAGTTCTGGTGCTAATCTTTCTTTTCTTTCCAGAAAACTCAAAATATCTCCTAGAGGCAAAATAAAGTAATCTTCACAAAACCAAAAAACACATTAGGGAAATTAGAACCTTCCATGTTCCATTATCCAACTCTTAATGTGTACCCTCAGTTCTAACGTACTTATTATAGTATAAATCATCTTAACTTAGTTTTTTAGCAGACTCTCTAGGTGAATATAGTGAGTTCTAAGAACCTGAAAGTTAGTGGGGGAAGAAAGGGAGGGAGAGAAACATCAATGTTGCTTCTCACACCCCCCACCCGCCCCCAGCTGGGGACCAGGCCACAACCCAGCCATGAGCCCTGACTGGGGAGCGAACTGGTGACCTTTGGTTTTGCAGGATGACTCTCAACCAACTGAGTCACATCAGTCAGGGCAACCCCACTGATATTTAAAGCTGTTTAAAGTCATCTCTTATGATATTAAAATAACACAAGTTCATCTGTGTTTAGAGATCAATTTCTACTGTTTCACAAAATAAATCCCAAGATACAGTGGGTCTGTCCTTAACATCTCGCTACAATAAATGTATACGACTTAGGAAAACACGTGGCATGCTGGCATACAAGACAGAGCCAGCAAAGGTTTTTAAAGAAGCAACCAGTCCTAGCATTAAAAATACAATTTTTTAAAAAATCAGAAAATGTGACTGCATGTTATAGAAAGTAAAGTGCTGAGCATGCCATTTTCAATGCCATTTTTTCCCCAGGTGGACGACAAAACTACAGAATAAGTTTACAGAGTCTTCAAGAATGTTTATTTAAATTTGGTTTAAAAATGAAAACAATTCTGTTCCCTGCAAAATTTTAATAGCTAATTTTTGACAAATTCAACAGGTTTTTCCCCCTGTTAGAGTACGGTCCTATGCACCCTCCTTGTATTTGGGGTGAGTCTTTTCCAGCTGAAAGGGCGACCTTGAAAGGCACACCCACGCGGCCTGTGCTTACTCTTCCTCCTTCAGAGCCCCTTCCAGCGACCTGTGTCATTGGCTCACACTACCCAGCCCCTGCCAGCTCCTGGTCCTGGGGAATGAAGACTCGTTAAAGCACGAGGCTATCTGTGAAGATCAGGCCCAGACTATCTGTGAAGGTCAGGCCCAAAGTAAAACTACCAAAAAACTGGGGGAAACAAGGATGACAGATAAATGCATACTGGCAGAGTTCTTTTTAAAAACGTAACAGCCACCAGGAAGAGTGGACAGGATGACGTTCGGGTCTGTCCTAGTAATGGCCTGGCACTTGATTCAGAGCTCTGCTGCTTTTGCAGAAGGCTACTCACTTCTTTCTCATCGGGAAAGGACGTTAGTGACTTTTGCCAAATACCAACTAATCTTAAAGTCTTTGGACGGTCAAATAATTATTTAACACCTACTGTGTGCTTAATATGAGTGAAAAAAAATGCAGATCTAAAACTTTAGAGGAGGGATAAATCACATCCAGTTGAGCAAATTGGGAAGAGTTTTACAAAGAAGAGCACATTTCAGAAAAGCTTAAGAGGCATGCAAGTTGGGACTGGTAGCAATGAAAGCCAGTCTTCAGGGTAGAAAAAGTCGTTTCTAGTGACAGAAGATCGGAGTGGGGTATATTCCTGAACAAAAGACAGTTTCAGTTGTTCGGCTGTGCTAGAATACAGGGCGCGGGAAAGGGAGAGACGGCACAAAGGTGAATTTTTGCTGTACTGTGGCCGACCTTGAAGGCCAAGGTGAAGCTGGCATGAAAGGCGAGGCACAGCCATCAAAGGTTTTCAGAGAAAGTCTAGTATAATCAGACTTGTGCTTTAGCAGTCAAATTATATGGTGGCAGACGACTGAAGGCCTATGTTTAAGTATATCTTTGAAATATACATATATGTAATAAAACAAATATACAACTAAGCAAGATAGAGGAGATTTAAAATAAGGAAGTTTAAATAGAAAAAGACAAAAGTAGGAAAATAAGATATACCAGAAATTAAGATAAAAACCAAATAAAAGCACAAATCATGTTATACTAAATCCCATATCAGTATTGACTAAGACAAAATTTAAAATATTTGA